TTTCAAATTTTTTCCNAATCACCTGTAATTTTTTAAACTTCCATCACCACTAACATTTCAACTCATTTGTTTATGTCACCAGAGGTCGTCAAAAAAATTTCAAATTTTTTCCCGCTACTTCTCTCCGAGATTTCATATTCAAGTGCGATTCTTTTTCTCGTGAATAAGTGGCGAGAAAAATTTGAAATTTTTTTGACTACCTCTGGTTACATGAACAAATGAGTTGAAATGTTAGTGGTGATGAAAATTTGAAAAATTACCGGTGATTAATTTTTTTTCTCTCAAATTTATACGCGTCCCACTTTTATTTCCCTCAGTAAATCTTCAATTTGAACCATAATATTAACTCAACTTTTTTCAAGAAAAAAGAAAATGCCCGAATATGTGAAAACATTTTTTGAGTGATTTTGCCGAAAAAACGATCTAGACGTAATTTTTTTCGATAGTAAAAAATTTATTTGAAAAGTTCAGCGTAAAACCTAAAGTTTTTGTTCCACACTCTTTTTTCTACGAGGTCAGTTTCTCAAGATATTCAATTTTTCTCGCAATTCGTTCAGACTCACCTATTTCCACTGTGAATGCTTTAAAAAATCGGAAAAAATTCACCGAGGGTACTTTCAATGAGTATAAAGGTACAGAATTTTTTCAGATTTTTTTGACACCTTCAAAAAATTAGGTGGCCCACTTAACGAAGAATCCCCCATATACAGATGGGGACATATGCTTGCTATGGGATTCATTGACATAATTTTTTGAAGTTTTAAGGCTCGGGTGTACTATCTTTCGAACGTTATCTCGATGTTTTTTTTCATCTTTCGTCATCTGAGATTGTCAATTAAGTCCTACATCATGCAGAAATTTTGAAAAATTATGAATGAATAATCAAAAAAAAGTAGAAAAAATTCTTTATTTGTTCAAAGAGCATTTTTAATTTATATTCAGAATAAGTTGAATAACAAAAAAATGAAAAATGTATATGATTTACGGTGACGAATGGCGGCCTGTCACCCAATATCATGCAGGGGGAAGACTGATTTCGTAAATCTTTTCCCACACTGCACAGAGACATTTACTACGGAAAGAGCTCTTCGAAAAAAGTTGTAATATTTTCGAGAATTTTTTAATCACACTTTTATCACATAAAAATGGCAGATGACTACATACCACTTTTGAAAATTGAGATACCTAGCTGTCACTTCCCATGAGGAGTTGATGTTTTATTATCCACCATGGAAAATGACAGCTAATAGGTAATTGGCAACAGCGAATCAGATATTTGTAATTTCCACTTTTTTAAACTCATTCTGAATCTCAATTAAAAACGCTCTTTGAAAAAGTTCCCAATTTTTTCTATTTTTTTTATCATTCTATCATAATTTATGGGAATTTCTACATGATATACCATTCAATTGACAATTTTGGATTACGAAATATAAAAAAAATCCAGATAACATTCGAAAGATAGTACACGCGGGCCTTAAATCATCTATTTTACTCTATTTATCATATTTGAGAACACGTGCATTGTAATGATCTTTCGCATGACGGCTGATAATCTCCGGATTTATGAAATTGACGGTGCCTGATAGACGACATGAGGCTTGGTGTACATTCCAAATTTCGGGGAAAGCATTTAATAATACTTGAAAGTTATGGTCTGAAGGACATTCTATGACGAGATGTTCATGGAAAACGACCGATTCATGATAATCATGATTCCCTAAATATTGGAACGTTTGACTTGACATTTCCTGGAACAGGAGTACTCAACACACTTGAAAAATCGTTGTAAGAAAATTGAAATAATGCTTCTATATTTGACTTGATCAAAACTTCATTTTTAATCAGGGTATCACATAAAGGGGAATTTAAATGTATAGAATTGCTATATACTTTCTTGGAGATTTTTTCACACAAACTCTTACAACAGAGTAACATTTACAACAGAGTTAAGAAAAAATAGCTTTCGAATCAGGAGGCAGTTTTTTTTGTGACATTGTTGATATCTAATCGAAACGGGGTTGGTATTTCCATTTTTTTTCATAGAATTGGTACAGATCCATTACGAAGCTTACTACCGATGGAATTGGTAGAAATGAAAAACAGAAAAAGAGTTATAAGACATAAAAAGCAGGGGTTCGAGCCCATCCGACAGAAGGCATGTGACCGTTACTTTTTGCGTTATTAGTCCTTTTTTTTATTTCTACCAATTCCATTAGTAGTAAGCTTCCGAATGGATCCGTAGCAATTCCCTGTCCTTGTAACAGGTATACAACCGTAATCACATGCTACAGAATGTCTACAGGAAGATATTCAACCTTTTAATGAAATAGATGTGTACAAAAGGTTAAATATCTCCGATTGCCCCTATTCAAAATACGAGTTTTCAATATTGTAAGAGCTATAATCACACCCAATTTCAACTTACTATTTTCATTTTTTCTCAAAATATCGTGCGTACAAGAATGAAAAAAATTTAAAAAACGAAAAAACTGGAATATCTCTGATTTTTTGTATGGACGGGTATACATATTTTGATTGATCTAGATGGTGGCCACCGAGACAAGTATTTTGAAAAAAAAGAAAAAAAAATTGAAATCCGTCTAGTAGTTCATGACAAATTTGAAGAAATATATTTACATAAAAGGTTGACTCAAGAACCACTTGGCCAATTGCCCCCATCCACAATACTAATCTTTTAATATAAAAGATTATAGAAGCTTGAAGCATAAAAATTTCAACTCCCTATCTCCATGTTTTATCAAGTTATCGTGTAAATAAGATGTTTCATAAACAAGTGGAAAATTGCCCCTGCATCATATATAGTATGGTTTTTTTGCTAATAGATTAGCAATATGCTTCCGAACGGTCATTTTGCATACTAATTTTGTTCTTATTTTTCTATAATCATGATTGTTCACTTCTACAGTTTCTTATTCCATGTTATTGTTTTCTATGGAATTTTTCTTATTTCTCTTATTGTTTACGATCAATGATATTACCAAATCGGTTGTAATAATCAATCATTTTTTTGTATACTCTTTTAGGTTTTCACGACTTATTCTTATTTCTCATTTTATCCCTTCGTATTGCATTTTCTGAGGGGCGAAGGTAAATTTCACTTTTGAAAAACCTCCCTTGAGTCATTTTTATGAGATAATTTGTGTGAGATTGGAGTGTCATGAATTTTGGTCTTTTTTGACATACAATCATTTGTAGTTGGAAAATTTGTGCGTCACATGACCGTCGTTTTTTGGTCATATGACGCGATCTAAAAAATTACGGTCATTTTGCATCTCTATGATTTACCCCAGGTCCACGTGGGGACCCCACGTGACCCCGGAATGATTTGCCAATGGGGGGCGCGTTTCGCAATCGACGTAGTAGCAGTAGCAGTACTGCAACCCTATCTAATTTTGCTTTACTGCAGCTACGGTAGTTGATTCCGAAACGCACCCATAATTTCACGTTCCCTATGGCGGAAAAAAATTGAAAACCCGTTAGTTTTCGTGTGACAAGTTCTCGTCATTCTCGAATCAATTCTAAGATCTCCATCATTTTATTCACACCTAATTGGATGCATTTAGCACAAGTTGCTGGGAAAAATCATCAAAAACCGAAATTTCCAAAAAATTGATGAAAATTTTCCGAATTTCCAAAAATTATCCCAAACATAAGATTTATCGAAACAGCTATCGTGATTATCTTTTAACTCTGACTTAGTAACGTTGAAACAAACATTTTAATTTATGATTGAATCCATTTGAGGGCGAAAATTCAGAAATATCTACAGTACTCTGATTTAAATTTTTTTTTCTTTCTTCTGATTTTTCGAAAAATTAAACTGACGATGATTGGTATCACTTCCATCTCCGAACTCGGTCAAGAAGAGACTCCAACGATTTTTTGAGCCGTTATTTAATGAATTTGAAACATTTTTTTTAGTTATCGTGAAAAAACTGATTTTCAAAAAAATTCAAAAATTTTAAAAATGAATGAATGAATTAAATTTTAATTTATGGTGGTGGATAGGGCTCACCAATACCTACATTTGAGGGAAAAAAATTATTCGATTCCATCGCTTCCCTAGCGCACAATCGAAAAAAACGTTTGTTACATACACATGCACATACACACACACGTACGGACACGGTCTAAAAAATGCATATTCGGACTTTTGGGGTCATAATAAGTCCATATAAAACAAAAAATCAAAAAATTAAATTTGTATGATTACAATGCTTCCATTCGGAAGCAAGAACGGAAAAATGGCAATATCTTCAAATTTTGTTTGAACGAGTATATATATTTTGATTGAACTAGATAGAGGCCATCGAGACGAGTATTTTGAAAAGAGAAATATTGAAATCAATGAAGTAGATTTTGAAATATTGAGGAAAAACAAAATTTAAAGAAGTTGTTATATCTCAGGAACAACTGGACCGATCGGGCTGAAACTGCGTACCAAAGTGAAGCTTAATCATAGCTACCATGAGCCGAAATTTCAGACTTTTATCGACAAATTTCACTGTATTTATAATGTGTAGAATTTTCTAACACTTGATCACCAAAAACCCCAGTTATCACACACATCCATACAGACATGACCCTAAAAACATCATTCCTTCGCGTTTCATAACATTCTAGACCATTTGCCATCAAAATTAGAAGATCGAAAAATGGCTCAAATGCAAGGCTTTCATTCGGAAGCAAAAAGGGATAAATAAATGGCGAAAAAAGATTTAGAAAAGGATAGGAATAATAAAAGAAAAGGAAGAACATTACAAAAAAGCAAGTAAATTACCTAAAAACGCTGAATGTAATGATACTGATACAGCCTACTACTGATTAACTTGAATGCGATGTAAATTTTTTTTTCTAGCAGAATATGATGTAAATTTTTTTAAAGCAGAATAACCCAACAAGATGGGATGCTAAAATAAACAAAAAAAACAAAGCTTCCATTCGTAAGCACAAAATAAAATAATATTTATACTTACTCGTGACAATATATCAAAAATATCACCAGCAACCTCTAGCTGTTCATATCCAACTCCATCAAGTGCGAATTTTAAAAAGTGTATAAGAATTAAACAAATAGCTATAAACTCTAGCAATAAACTAGCAGTGAATAGTCTGGTAACTGGATGTCTCTGTAGTCTTACTGCATACAACTGTAGTGGCACAAGTATAATATAACACAGGAAAAATAATAAATATAGTTCGACTGTGTTCTGACGATCGTACGAGAACTGATACGTTAAACTATTGAATCCACTGTTATTTGGATTCCCATTGACTAGCCAAATATCATAATCAATGTCCAGGTTCTCGTTGAACCATTCCCACTGGCAAGTTTTTGTGTTACGATAGCAGGAGACAAAACTCATGTACCAAAATCTTGGTTGCAGAAGATCTTGAACCACATAAGTGAATTGGTGATTTTTCATCACATTCCAAGGAAGATCCTCATCTGGACAGAGTTTATTTTTTGGACATGGTATTCGCCTGGAAGAAGACAGATTCATTTCAATAATAGGAATTTGGATCTAGTTATTCCATGAGATGAGCGAACTTTTTTTGACAAATGTTTTGACATTTGGGGAAGGCAGAGGAATTCTGATGGGGATTTTTGTCAAGGACCGAATGAGATCTACTTAAAAGATACTACACTGAGAAACAAAAGTTTTTTGGCAAGTACTTTATGGCAGGTCTTTATGTACAAAATATCTTAATGTGAGAAAAAAAAACTATTGTCAAGAGATGTTATACTTGTTCAAAAGATAAGGGACATAACAAGAAAGCAACTACTACAACAAAGTCAAATGGTTTTTGTATGAAAATATTTTGGTTCTGAGACTGAAAAACTATTGAATGAATTGATTCAACTAAACTTGGTTTCAAACATAACTTTGTTGACACAAATAAATCATCCTCGTCTTTAGGACAAGTACAAAATCTCTTGACTCAAGACATCAGGGTGAAAACTCCTAAAATTTCGAATAGTCGTTTTCTTGGAGTGTTTTTTTTTCATGCATTTGTAACTTAAGGAACATGTCAAAATTTAAAAAGTTATTTAAAAAAAGAAACACTCCTGAATTAGTTTGAAAAAATCACGCGAAAAAAACTTGCGAGTGTTGTCTCAATTACCACTGAACTCAAGTTAAAATCATTGTATCCAAACATTCAATAAGGAAATTCTGAACGACAGAAGTTAACTCCAAAACTAATGTCTCACTCGTGAAAAAAATGTCCTCAAACAAAGTGATTTCACGAGAAGTCATCGAGAGATCATTTTTGTACCTAATGTAATATCCTACAAACATCTTGACGAATTAAAATAGATCCATTTGTTTGTGAGCCATGGAATTAATTGTAGAAGACAAAAAAAAATCATCGATTAAAACACACCAAGATGCTTATTTTAAGAAACCGAATTCCCAATTCCAGGATCAATATTACCTTAAAATGAGAGAATATGTACTTTATTTGTTTGGGCTTTATGACATTGTCGATCCAGACTTTTATCGTCCCAAATACAGTGTGATCTATACCAGACAAAACACGTGCGGCTAGGGCCGGTTTTAAATGTTCCTTAATTTGAGTACAATTATACCAGATTTCAGGGGAAAATGATTGAAAAAAAACTTTTTTTCTATCATTTTTATGGAAAATTCTCATAGAATAAGAGATAAGAAATGCTCTCTTAAATGTAGAATTTTTTGTTCCTTGAAAACTAAAAATTTGAATAGAAACTAAAAATTTTTTATATCACTACACATTGATATATCTTTATGGTCCGTACCATAGGGAACATGAAAAATACTGAAAAATTACCTTAAAAAATCCTGTCCATCTTGATTACACTCCGAATCATAAGAGCTCTCATTAAGCGTATGGAACATCATGGTACAAGCAAGATTCCTATCCTCAATAGTTCTGTTCCCATAATAACCCAAGAAATGATTTCTATCCAACACAGCAAGTGTGATCATTCTCGAAGAGATTTTCCTTGCGGTGACATTGCCAAAAATATATCCATAAGAGTCTCTCTGTCGATGGCGATCAGTTTGTTGAAATCCAAATTTCATTAAAAACCTGAAAAACTCCTTAGTATTGAAAGTACCAGTGATGTGAGTCCCCTCTCCCTGGCTCAATATCCCCAACAGAATGACTCCATTCCACATTAGCTGATAAATTCGTAGCCGCCCCATCTTCATTCATAACAAAATAGTTACGTTTGACAATCAAACGAACCAATTTTTTTTATTACTCCTGGTTGAGTCTTAACTGTCGTTTTATCTGTGAATGCCTTGATAATGGGTAACAGCAGTTGATAACAACAGCACGTCTTCAAACACTGTTCTACACTCTCGTCATCCACAAGTCGTTGTACTCATTTGAATGTTCCAAAAAATTTTCATGATGATAAATATTCTCGTACCGTTTATTTCATATAGCTAAATATACTGTACTAACTTAACCAGGACGAGTGTATTATCTTCCGCTGTTTAAACTGGCTTTTCATATTGATTTTTCCACCCACTGCGTATTATAATGTATTTATAATCCACTCGATTGATGATTTATGCATGAAGTTTTTGAGTTTTTTTCAACATGATGTAGGAAATTTGAACATTGCTAAGAGGTGTTCAAATGTAACGCGTATTGTGATCATCTCTCTTTGAAAATACAATTTTGTTGGTTGATTTGTTAGTGATGGTATTGTAAGCGGTATTTCCAAGTTTTTCAGCCAGTTCGCATGTGGTCATGTAAGGTATAGTAAATTTTGCCAGAGAAGTAATCGCGTTTTCAGGGGTAGGGAGCACGAGCATAAGTGGTGATCGTGATGATTTGGGTAGAGTGGAGATATACGGCTTCAAACAGAGATTATAGGGGAGATGAGCAGGGCCAATGTAAAGTGTTCAACAGCAAAAAGGGTAGCGGTGGCGCATGGACTACAATGGAGCGTACGGAACTGTTGGTATGGTAGGGCCCGAGCATAAATTTGT